GACTAAGAATCTGTGAAGTAAAACATGTAATCGATGCAGATAACGAACTCTATCTTATTTGTTTTAAAGCAAACGGTCTTATTGAATATCTTTAAAAAGAGCATAAAATGCTCTTTCAAACAACACCAAAAATATTCAAATCGGTTGAATGGTCCAGGAGATATTAAAATGTAAACATATGAGAACGCATTGCCCTCCCTTATTATGACAGATATGAGAAATATCGCAAAACAAAAGCGATGCGGTATTATCCAAGCTGTTAAATGATGTTGTCAAAATTATAGCTCATCGTCTAAGTTTTTGAGATAGCGGCAATTTTATGTTTCTCAATGGCAGTTACGCCCCCTAGCGGGCGAATTACGAACTTCGAAATAATTTCCAGCTATTTCTCTTAGTCACATTGCTTATAAAGATTTTTTTCCCAAACCTCTAGGCCTTACCGTTCTAGAGAGCCGCTCCGTACGCTTAACGGGACATCCTGTATATTTTTATAACTTTCGCGCAAAAAATTGTCTGTATGGTTTCAAAATATATTAAAGATTACATATCAACAATAAAAAAAGGTGATATTTTTTACCAACTTTTGGTAAAATAAGTGTACGTTAAGGGGTTAATAATTGAAGATCTCTTGTATAAGTAATAGTTTTNTGTGCAAAGTTCGCGATAATACAGTTTCACATCACCTGTAAGTATTATAAATAATAAGGAAATTTTATTTTATTTTACTTTTTTTTTCTTTTTTCATTTATTAATTTTGTTTTAAATTTACCGCCAAAATTAAGGCACGCCCATTATATGTCAGTACGCTTCTATGTCTATCTCTGTTCGATCACCTTGCGCAAGCTATCTCTCTCGTTGGCTCAATCCATATTATATATAATCAAAGGTTATATGTATATAAACAGAATTTAATTTTTTTAAATTTAAGTTATAACAATATATTACAAGTAAAAATAAAAACAAACATTTAATAATTTTGCTTTTTATTACAAGCGTAAAACTTCCCTAAAAATACTCCTCTTCTTATTAAAAATTAACACTAATAAGTGGAAGATACGCACTATTTAGTGATATTTTGTCAATTAATAGAGTAAAATTAGAACGAATTTTTAATAATTTACACTGATTAGATTAGAAATGTATCTAATTAGAGTCACGACAACATCTAGTTAGATTACATATAATACACTGTAATAGAGTAACGATTTTACACTATTTAATAAACACCATCTTCTCACTATTTAGTGTAAATTTTTAATCTATTCACCTACACTATATAGTGCAAAAAAATAACTCTAAATAAATCGGACCGATCTGAACCATGTTTTAGAGTTGATTTTTACTCTATATGTTTTCCTGTGTATGTTTAGAGTTTTTTTACACTGTTTTACACTGCGTTGGCTATATAGTAGCCGCTTAAAAGGTCGGTAAGCATCGGCAACAAAAAGCCGATTTATAGGCTAGCGATCGGTAAAGTGTTAAAAATGTCAACTTAGGCATGGTATCATAATTTTGGGATTGTACATTTCAATATTATCTCAAAAAATGCGCGTTAAAATGTATAACATGGACGTCCAAGCCTTTTTCCTGGAAGAATATCTCCCGAATTATTATCGAATTGATTCCATACTTTATGTACACAGTGTATAGTGGATCGACTGGGAACCTTTTTATAGTGTACAGGTTTATAGCGTTAGGTTATAGCGGCAATTTTATGTTTCTCAATGGCAGTTACGCCCCCTAGCGGTCGAATTACGAACTTCAAAATAATTTCCAGCTATTTCTCTTAGTCACTTTGCTTATAAAGATTTCTTTCCCAAACCTCTAGGCCTTACCGTTCTAGAGATACAACCGCTCCGTACGCTTAACGGGACACCTGTATATTTTTATAACTTTCGCGCAAAAAATTGTCTGTATGGTTTCAAAATTTATTAAAGATTACGTATCAACAATAAAAAAAGGTGATATTTTTTACCAACTTTTGATAAAATAAGTGTACGTTAAGGGGTTAATAATTGAAGATCTCTTGTATAAGTAATAGTTTTTTTCACTTTGTATAGTAGGTATATAATATGCATGAGACGTATATTTTCCCAAATAAAGGTTTCTAAAAGCTGCCTTTTTATAATAAAATTATATGCATCAATAATATTGAGACTTTACTTTCCTGACCGTAATGGCTAACATTTCTAGTGGAATTACCTAGATTCTCATCCTGATATCTTGGGATCTTATCCTTTTCGACATTTTCGCTGTCGGTGTCGATGGTGGTCTCTTAAATCCAAAGAAGATGTCACAAATCTACCTCTAGTAAGTCTTAACTCGATAAAGGGATTTTCAAAATAATAAATTAGTATTCTAGGTAAGCAAAAATGGCGCGCTTTTCTCTATGTGCCATCTTAAACTTGCAAGTAACACTGATTAATACGGTGTAGCTGCAAGAACGCAAGTAGGTATGTAGGGCAAGTGTGCATCGGACCTTAGAGGGCATATTTTTAGAATTATGGCTAATTAATTGCAATTTTCAATCTTAGAAAATCCTTTTGTAAGCTCCTTCAACACAGCTTCTTTTATTTGTTGTCTAGCTCCAGAACTAGGATTCAATTTTTTGCACTCTTTTATTGCGCAGCATCCTGCAGGAATTGTTTTATTAACACTAACAACTTCTTCGCTATTTAGCTCTTTTGTTAGTCACACTCAATTACGCAGAATTTTAATTGCTCGATTAATGTGATCATCATCGAAGTATTGACGTTGTCAAATACGATGTAGTGAATAATATAAAACGTTGAGTTCCAGTTTTTCATTAAGTACTGTTTTTTCTGGTATTTCTGATTTCGTCGTTTGTTGTTTCCAAGCCCTAAAACATATAGAAATTATTCTTGAATTTTCAACAAAATGAATCGTTACTCCAAGAAGACTTTAGATTTGAAGATCATTATCGCCGTCTTTATATGACTCCCACTTCAGGTCCAATATTCCACCAATAGTAGACACTACGGGTGTGTTTCTTACGCAAAACTGCTTCTATTTTTTATTCGGTGATTTCTAGCTCCTTAGTTTTCAATTAATCCATAAGGTCTCTTACTGCTCTTTTTGCTGTCGTAACCATTTTATTTATGTCTTAGTCTACGATTGCGATAGCCAAGTCGGCGGCATATACTGACATCGAAATGTATATTCCATAGAAGCGACCGTAATATAGATCCTTGCGAGACACCTCCATATCTAGTTGCATGCGTTTGGAGAAAATATTTCTCACGCTTGAAAATAATGTCTAGCATGCGTACAAGAAACAATATCATTCAAATATTTTGTGGTATGACGTAGGGATCAACAGCTGCAACCCTGCGGTGCTCGATCCTAGGACTTGTCTACAGTGCTGCCGACTACTGCTCATGCGTATGGCTGAATAGTTGATACACCGACAGCTTCAGATGTTCAACTCCACCATGCGAACAATCGTTGGCTGTATAAAAACTGATAGATGCACACTTAAAGACGATTGAAAAAGGCTTAATCTTCTTAATAAAATGCGGGACAACTCTTACTCATTTTTTTATTAAGTTAACATAACCTCACATTTACTCATCTCTTATTAACTATATGTTTACATATGCATACATGTGTATGTGGTTGCCTAACAAAAACTACTCCCATACACTGGGGCTTTCTGCGCTCATACACATTCCACCACCCCAGTTAAGAAGAAGGATGCTTTAGCCTGCGAATACCAAAAAAATATTGGATAATGGACAATTCCCAATTCATAATACTCAAGCGTCCTCATCCACCTGGCTCGAATCTAAATACCCTGCAATAAGTACACCTAAAACTCTACACAATGAGAACTTGAACATAGAACGCAGCTTGGAACTGACACTGTACCAGGCCGTCACCCCAGAATTGCGCCGATATCTTGCAAGCCAGTTGGTTTTGGCTTGTCCTGCCGCATCTGACTTATGCAAAGACTCACTCCATAAATGGAACAAAGCCCATGTGTCACTACGGTAGGTAGAATTAGAACATTGAACATATTGTCCAAAACTGCAAAATATCGGCATACCCACCAGGCGAATTGAATGACTTTTTCAACTTGTCACGAGCGGAGATCGAATGGATTGACAACTTAACAATGAACATTTACCTGTCCGTCTACTTTATGTTAACAATACGTGTTATATTTTGTTTTATATTTTATATGTGTTACATTTAAGTCTTATGCTTTCTACTCATACTGTCATTTCCATGTGTAACCATACGATAGATAAAATATATGAAGGAATCAATATGCTGACGGTGCACTATTTTCTCCAGTATAGATGTCAGGTATGCTGGAAGAAATGTCACATTCTTTCAAAGTTCTCCGTAATTCTATGACAAGTAAAACTAAACATTGGCACCACAGAAGTGGAATCGGACCAGACATCCTTAACTTTTCCATACAATTGTTTGCAAATACAGACAAAATTGTTTAAATGATCTCTCAAAGAGTCTATCTTCCTTTACAAGATTATTGGTTGTTGCACAAATTGTATACAAATCCAAGGACAGTAGAATCTACCAGGACTGCTACATCCATTGTTGTGACAACCTGCCCGCAAACAACGTCACACCATTTTCCACGACCAGCTGTTGTTATGGTCTATGCGTTTGCTGTGTATTTTTAAAGGTTATATCCTAGAGATATTCATATTATTTTTGAAGTTTTATGTTTTTAGACGTATTAATGTCTATCATATAACCTCTAAAAACACAGACAGTTACCAGGCGTGACAAATAGTGTGACGTAGAGTGCGGGCAACCAACCCGTAGTCGACTACAAAAATACAATGGATGTAGCAGTCCTGTTAGATTCTACTGTCCTTGACACAAATCTATTAATATATGATTTAAGCATGTTCCTACGTTACGCGAGTCAAATTTATTACTTACTGACAAACTGTACATAAGGTGACAGTGGATTGATGTATTAATTTTTTTTGCTTTTGTTGTTTAAGAAATTCTACTAATGTCTCACCAATCATGGCTCCTAGTGTGAAAAAGCAACGAATTGCTAAGATATGTAGAGATGATTGTATTAAATTAATACAATTGTATGAATCGCATAAATTGTTATGGGATCCAAACAATACGCATTATTATGATCGTGGACTTAAAGAGATTACATGGAATATCATCCATAGAGATATGCAGCCTACCTCCCATAGCGTCGAAGATTTAAAAAATAAAATGGTGTCATTGCAAGGGTGTTACAGACGAGAAAAATCGCGGGAAAGAAAATCTCAAATAGGTTCAGGTAATATTTAATGTAGACAAACAATTTGAGTGTACAATAACGATTTAATTGTTTTAGGTCGTGATGATGTATATAAATCAAATTGGTACGCGTTCCCATATTTCCAATTCATGAAAGACAAAAACGAACTAGGTGAAACGCCAGAGTTAACGGAAGACGATTCTGAAGTAAATAATTTTAACGTTTTAGACCAAATTTTAGACTAATAAATCGTTTTATATTAATAAGTCACAATCACCCGTGCAAAGTTTCAGTATTTACTTACATTTCAGGGAGCCAATGAAACCAAATTTGAAGTTGTTATTCCAAAATGTGAGCCGCCAGAAGACCCGCTTGATCAGATTGAAGCAACTACAGATGAAATATACGAAAACATATTAATTGATGAAAAAGTTCTCCTAGAATCTAAAAAAAATGCGAAACTTGGAAAAAGAAAAAACAAAACGAACGAGGACGATGATAGTGTTACAGAAACATGGAAATTATTGAAACAGTGTGGGGAAAGTAGTGATGGGGATGCGTGCAATATATATGGACAATATATTGCCAACGAGCTGCGAAAATACGATCCAATAACGCTGGCTTATGTTAAACGTGCAATTAATAATATAATATTTGATGCAGACATTGGTAAATATAGAAAGTGTTAGCTAAAAGTGTTACTAAGGTTTTAGAAATGTGTTAAATGTGAATACCTTTTTCAAAAATCCCAATCAAACAAAGTATTTGTAATCTCACTTATTTTTTAGCGCAATATTGTCATAAACACATAGTTACTGTGGATGGAATAACGCGTTAAAAAAATATTTTTCATGTTGAAGTATTACTTGTTTATTCTAATATGTATATTTCATAACAGTTTCAATATTGTTAAACTGACTCATAGTGTGTAACTTTTATAATCTAAAAGAAAAAATTAACGTCAAGCTGAAGATCTTAGTGGTTTGTGGATTTAATATTTATGTTATAATGTTTATAAATAAAACTCAAAAATTACAGAAAAAGATATATTTTATTAACATTCATTAGAACTTTTCAATAATATCATTTCTGATGTCACAAATAAAGGTACAAACATCAAACATAATTTTTATTAGTACTGATATGGAGATTTAAGTCCATTTTTATGTAGATATCGATTAATATGTGGTTATAAGAAATTAAATTAATTACGAAAAGATGTAGATATATTCAATTGACTATTTTGTCGCAGATAAGAAATCGGATGGGTTGCAGGACTGTAGAATCTGATCGGGCGTTGTCCCACCAGGTGTTTAATAGTTGTAATTATTTCCGTAAATTTTCTTTCTGCTTTACGCTAAACAATAAAAACCCACGCCCCATTTTGGTTAAATTTTACATAAGTTATAAATCTCGACTGTCAGTTCGTAAATCTAGAGGTAAATTGAACTAAGGTTAGCACACAGGAAGACCTTACTGCACGAAATTATAATCTTTTGAGATAAGAATGGGTTAAGTTTGAGAAGAGGAACTGCTGGTCGTATGATCGACGAATTTATGTTAAGAATTATGGATCTACCCAAGGATGGTAAACTATAAAGGATTGCTCAATGCGCGAGATCAGTCGGCCGGGGTCACGTGACGCGGTGACGTAGGCTAGCGACCAACCTGTACAAAGCTAGAAATAATTGTGGACCGACGCGGTGTTATAAATCCAAATTTATATACTTTTTTTCTTTATGTACTGAAAATGTCAAACCATTTATTGACATTACAAATAAAATTTCCCACATCTTCCGCTAACTTTTCATCTGAACCTGGCTTGTATCGCAGAAGTGCAGTACCCACGGTGTTAGAAAGAAGTTCTGCAGCAGTACGCACATTCTGCCTTTGGGCTTTTTCACAGTCAATATGTCTTTTAGAAATTTTGTAGCAAACGTTTACTTCATGGTCTGTGAATTCTATTAACTTTTCAATTGGTTTTTTATTAATAGTGCTGTTATCTAAATTGAAACCTGTATCGAGTAACCAATTTCTAATTAATTTCAGCAGATGAGGGCTATCTGCGAACATATATACAAGTTTCTCTGTTATTGGATGCTTAAAACATGTATTATTTATATTTATTCCCAGTTGTCTCCATAAACCGACATTACTTGCCCCACAATCGCTGACACAAGCAACGACGTTATACGAAATGTTATGTAATTCTGTTATAACATTCATCAATATATCTTTTGTCATTTTTTGATCAAATGCTATGTAGACAGGTTGTTTCCAGTTAGAGAATAAACCACGAGCCATTACTACTTGTAACTGATTATATGGTCCTATTATATCATNCTATTATGAGTTAAACATATTCCCCAAATTTCATTTTCCTAGCGTTTATGGTTTTTGAGAAAAACAAATTAAACCAAAATTTTCCGCCATTTTTGGAGGGGTGTAGCTCCTTAGGGGAGCCGAAGTCGCCCATGGTTCATATATCAAAGTACCCTTAAAATTCACTAAAGAATCACCCCTTGAAGTTTGTTGTAGTCATTCAGATACATCCTGTATAGGAAAGAATAAATTACTAAATAAATTACATTACATTAAACCCTTGATAAAATAATCGGTGTCCGGTCAGTAGCGACAAAGGCACAGTCGTAATACATTATAAAAATATTAATAGAAGGACTGTATATCGTTTAAGAAATCATCTATGGAGTAATACGCCTTCCCTACTAAAACATTTTTAATTTTGGTTATAAAAGCTTTATAAGGTAAGCTTCTATAACCACAATGCAAGACATTGAAGAACTTATAAGTACGAAGGCTTTCACGGCCGGTGTGAATTAAACTAAGATTAAAACTAAAACTAGAAGTAACACTAGAAACTTTCGGGTTTTGCCGTGCGTCTTTTAATAAAAGGTTTGACGTTTCGGATGCCATGTTGCAACCTTCTTCAGAAACTGGTTCGAAGTGGCTTCGAAGTGACTTTGAAGGGACATGGGGTAAGTAAACCACTGAATCTTAGATTCAGATTATGAACGTCCGATCGGTATCTTATTTAGGAGGTATTCTGGTTTCTGCATTTTGATAATTTTATAATAAAAAAATGTGCGATTCTCCTTCTGTACATATTTAACCATTCATCCAGCATCACCCAACCTGTGAGAAATTCTTTCAAATTTTCTTATGCCATAGATGTATCGTAGACATGCGTTCTGCACCCTCTGTATATGCTGCTCCACGTAATTAAATTTCGATAATATTAAGAATCACACAGCAAGGTTTTAACCTCTACATTAAGAAGATGTCTCATCAGATATAACATTTTTAATTTTGCATATGCCGCCTGTAAAATAGATGTTATATGTCCCCGGAATCGCATTTCCTGGTCGATTATCAGACCCAAATTTCGAGCTTCTTTTACTAAAGGAAGCCTTAATCCATCAACAATAACCTTAACATGCGATTCTGACTCATTTATATCTTTTTGTCGCCCAAAAAACATTAGGGTAGACTGGGTACGGTTCTGAGAGTCGCAATTTTAGCGAAACTATATGGACAACTGGGGTGGGTGCAAGAGAAAAGAGGTGCTATTTGAATGTCTAAACGTGTTTCACTTTCTTTTAATAATTGTTGTTATATGTGTAGGTACGGATAGAGTAATGACTGTTTTTCCTCGTTACAAGCTAAACATTAGTAGTTATATAGCAGTAATTAGTTTGTACGTAGATTATTTTGTATTGTCATGGCGATTGTTTTTTTGCTTGGGTTTGGTTGTAACACGTAAAATTTTGTTTTTTTTGCTTTTAGATGCCCAGAAAACGCTTGAGGAAGACCGAAAGAGGGCAGTGTGACATAACAAAATATGAAGACGCTTATAAAGAAGTGAAACGCGGAACTTCTTTACGGAAAGCTGCGGAAATGCACGAAGTTAATCGCATGTCTTTGTTACGATATATTCGCAGACGCGATGGGGCCGATGGGGATCACAATGAAGACAGCATCCGTATGGGGTATGTCGCTCATAATAAAGTATTCTCTGAGAAGCAAGAACAGCAGCTGTCAAGATATATAAGACGTTGCGCAGAAATATATTTTGGCCTTTCTCCTAAAGAGGTACGTAAGTTAGCTTTTGAGCTGACTACCAAATACAATCTCAAGCGGCCTGGTACTTGGGATGAGAATGAAATGGCAGGTGAAGAATGGTTTCGTTCATTCATGAATAGAAATCCTTCACAGTCTGTTCGTGTGGCTCAAGCTACTAGCCTTTCAAGAGCAACAAGCTTTAACAAAACAAATGTGGAAGCTTTTTATGACAATTTGCAAACTGTTATGGACAGACACACCTATGAACCACAGGATATATACAATGTTGACGAAACAGGCGTCACTACCGTCCAAAAACCTGATAAAGTCGTAGCTAGACGTGGCATACGACAAGTGGGATCCCTTACTTCAGCTGAACGAGGCACACTAGTGACGGTTGCTTTTGCAGTAAATGCCTTGGGCAATGCTATGCCTCCTTTATTTGTATTTCCACGAGTCCGTTATCACGATCATTTTGTTCGCAACGGACCAATAGGATCGATTGGTACTGCAAATCCTTCAGGATGGATGCAAGATGCATCGTTCCTAGTATTTCTCGAACATTTTAAGAAGTTTTCTAATGCTTCTCCAACACATAGAGTCTTGCTAGTGTTGGATAACCATTCCTCGCATATCCATATTAATACATTGGATTTTTGCTTTCATTTCCTCCACACTGCTCGCATAAACTTCAGCCTTTGGATCAATCTGTTTTCGGACCCTTGAAAAAAGCTATAAATACAGCTTGTGATGGATGGATGCGGAGTTATCCTGGAAAAACAATGACAATCTACGATGTGCCAGGTATTATCAAAACTGCTATGCCTCTGGCTTTCACTCAAGCGAACGTTCAGGCTGGTTTTTGCAAAACTGGTATTTATCCGTATAATCGTAATACATTCCAAGAAATTGACTTTGCACCATCTTACGTAACTGACAGACTAAATCCTGACACTGGTGAAAACAATCCTGACACTGGAGGAAACAATCCTGTAGCTAACAATGAAATACTGCCGCATCTAACACAAGAATTTAGCTTTTCACAATCCTTCGAAAGAAACGGACCAAGCCTTAAGCTGGGGAGAACAATCCTAACGGTGAAATACCGCTACTTTCAGCTTCCTTATTGGGCGAATCTTTAATTTCAAATCCAAGTAATGTTCAGCCAGTTGTGTCATCCTCAAGCATGCCACCTGTTTTTTCTCCTGAAATTGTTCGACCTTTTCCGAAGGCCCCTCAAAGAAAAACAAGAGGTTGCAGAACCAAAAAGTCGACCATCTATACAGATACGCCTGAAAAGAAGGCTGTCAGGCAAGAATATGAAGAAAAAGAAAAACGGATGAAGGCGAAACAGGTTAAAAACAATCTTACTGAACCAAAGGGAAAAAGGAAAGCAAAGAAAAGAAAAATATCACCACCGTCATCAGAGGAAGAAGAGTATTTCTGTCTGGTTTGTGCAAGCGCATATTCTCCAAGTAGGGCTGGCGAAAAGTGGATCAAATGCCAAGGAAAATGTGAGCTTTGGTCACACTTAGAGTGCACAGGTGGTAGTCGCCATTACATTTGTCATAACTGTGATGAGTCTGACTAGATCTCAGTATCTTAGTTTTCAGTTTTTAGAACCAAGGATCAACCTTAGATTTCTTGTTTATTTTTCCTCGAAGGAGATATTTTCAGCTCTTTGTTTCACTGATTTTGATATACCATTTATTAATATTGTTTTGCGTTTTGACACAGTTACTATGATGTATAATTAGATATGTTTAGTTACTTTTTTTGACTCATCGTAATATGAAGACTGTTATAATAATTATAGATATATATTACTCACAATAAAAGATTTTAGACGATTTTGGTGTATTTTTGAACTTGTCACTACCGACCCCAAGCACTGTCACAACCGCCCCTGGGATGTGGTGGGTTGTGACATTTTTCTTTTTTTTTCTAATTTGCTTCTATGAGT